CTGTATGTGCATATGTGCACACATATTCTTTTTAATTAAAATTGTTTTTTTCTGAACTGTTAGAGAGCAAGCCCAACTAGATTTTACTCCCTTTGAGAGCAAGGAGCGTGGCTTGAGTCTCTGCTGTGTTTCTGTCTTAAGAAGATATTTGCAGTCAGGTTCTGACTTTAAAGATACAGTTCTGTCTTATGCAGTAGGATGCATTTACATGCTAATTCTTTAGCCTTGCTTTATCAAAAGATTGTCCTCTAGACTATTGCTCCTGGTAATAAAGCCTCCTCAGAGTCATGTCAGCATGCGTCTTCAGTGAGCTCCTGTTGAGCACTAACTGGGTTGTATCACTCTTGGTATTGCTATTTTACTTTTTTCTGCTGATGAATCTCAACTTTGATTGAAACCTAGGGTGAAAACCTGGAGGTGATGGAGCAGACACGCATATTAGAAATGTTTGTCTTATTGTGGAGCTCTAGATGGATTTTGCTGGAATTTTGTTTTAAAATCACAAATTTCATAGTAATGCATCCAGACCTCACTGGTCTAAAAAGATTTAATGCCATCATTTGTTGTCAGGAAATAACTTTGGAGGCATTTAGTGAATTTACTAAATTCATTAACTCATTATCTTCCTTCCTTTTTCATGGATGAATGTGGAAACTTCAAAGATCAGTATGTTGAATAGAGTTTAGGGAGCTCAGCTGAATAGAAATTAGGCTTAATTAAATGAATAAAGAGTGGAACTCTTTTATAATGTTATGGAACGTTAAAATATTTTATCCTTTGTTGTCCCAACTCTAATGAGATGTTTTCTTAACATAGATTTCTTAAGACATGCTTAGATCAATGTGGCAAAGTGAAAATGTTAAGTTCTTTTATTATAGGATTCTAATGCATTTTATTGAAAGAAGTAATTTACTGGAAATTCTCTTATACTTATGGTCTTTTATATCTGTTGTTTGAATATTTCCTGTGTTTTATGTCTTCTTAGATTAACATTTAACTCAACCATGTCTACAAATGTTTCCATGTTTCATGTGGTTAATTATGGATGCCAGACATTGGCTTTTAAAATTGAGAAACTAAACTGTAATCTAGGTGTAGTATTACCAAATTTGGTGGGGAGGGATTTGTAATGTCTGCTATATGGTTGTTGTCTGTGGAAGAAATGCTTACGTAATAAAATGAGGAATTTTAGAATATGGTTCTGGATTCTCACTGGGTATTTATACTTCAGTTAAGATGGAGTAAAAGTACATGCACTTCAAATTGAATTTTATAGCTGTACATTTGGGAAAAAATTTTCTGAGCAAGATGTAACATACATGATATGTAATTTGTATAGCCTCAAATTATTTTGGTAGTTCTGTTTGTTTTACAGTGTAGTTTCTCTGCAGGGCACTATTGTCTATATTCTATGTTGATGATAGTTTTTTTTCTATTAGTGCTTTTTTAGTTCATAAACCATACAAAAGTATCAGCTGAGAAGCCATAGTTTCACATTGGCCTCTTGGAGAAGACTTTTCTTTGGAGAAAAGGCTTGCAGGCACAGTGCTAGGGCTGTATAAAGTACTGCATGTTTGTACAGTATGTACTTCACCCTAGTTACTGTAACTATAATCAGTTACTTGAGGATGATACAAATCTGTTAGTTCCACAGAATATAATTTCTTTATATTTAAATGAAAGTTAAAATTTTCTCTCTGAAGAACCTGGTGCTGCTCAAAGAAAGACTAGTATTTGAATACTTTTTAAAATCAGTATTTAAAATATAGATAATATACTGTCTGGAATAATCTGGATATATGAAGTATTACTGTAGTAACTTGAAGCAAATAATTTACAACAAAGAAAATATAAAAGATAGTATGTTCAACCAAAGAAAAACCTGATTTGTAAATTAGGTACAGGTTAAGGAAAGAGTTGATTGACTTCTTTTCATTGACTAGTCAGCTTTGATGAAGCAGGAAATTATAACACATGAAAAAGAGCGAATGGAATCTTTAAGAAGTGAAATTCCCGTAACTTCATAAAATGAATTTCTTTCACTTCTTTTCTGTAGATCCTCAGTTTTAAAGAGAGAGAAGTTTGAAAAACTATGTTTTATTGGGTTATAATACTATAATTCTGCTGCAAATAAAATATCTTTTAAACAGGACAAGTGAATTAATGTATGATGTTCTTGATGAATCCTTACGAAGAGCTGAGTTAAATCACAATGTCACATATGGTAGGTAACATATGTAAATGCTGTTCTAATGACTAATAGTGTTTTCATTATTAAAGCTAAATCTATAGTTAGAATACTATAAATTGCAGTAGAATTTTAAATGTTAATTTTTAAGGGGGTTTCTGGGTTATTATTTTTCACTGGAAGCATTGAATAACTAATAGAAATAATTTGAAATTACAGCATTGTTTTAAATGTTGACATAAATTTATTATTATAATTGTCTCTCTTTTTATTTTAAGACTTTATTTTTAAAGAAAAATTTTCTCTTTATTGAAAATATTCATCAAGCATCTAATTGACTGCGAAGATAACCCAGTAGATCTATTCCATACTGCAGACAGTTCTTAAACCAGTCAGTCAAATAGTCAAATATTTCTTAAGTTTTTGTTATTTATCAGGCCCTGTGCAAAATGCTTGGAATACAACTGTGAAGAAAACAGTGTTATCACTGAGCTCACAGCCTAGATAGATGGATAGGGGCAGGTACTATAAACGTTACAGAGAAGAATTACAAGTTACTGTGCAGAGCATAGCAGCTAGTCTTAGATGAGGGAAGAACAAGGGAGGCTTTTCTGAAAAAGTAGTATTTGAGAAGACAACTGAAGGCTGAGTATGATATAGATAAGGATATGGAAAAATAACATTGTTTTGTGAGGAGACAATAGCTGTTTATGTTAAATACAATTTTGAAAAGTAACTTAGTGATAGGAGACAAGAGTAAGATGTTGGGGAGAAGGTAGGAGAAATAAGAAAAGTAACCAAAAAAGAAACCTTTAGTCTTAATAGCCAGAGGGAGGAACTGTTCTTTATTGATCGGTCTGAGAACGCTCATTGAAGAAATTGACATATTTGGAGATATTTAAAAGATAGAAGTAAAGCACTTTGAATTTTGCATGCTGTGGGGAAGAGCAGTAGAAGAGGCATTGAAAGATATAACTCAAATGAGGAGTCATTTATTAACCTAGTAAAATACCATGAAGGAGGGGATGAAGAGCGTTACTTTTTCTTCCAGACAGTGGTAAACTCTGGATCTTTAAGAACAGTTGTTGTAGAAGTTTCGGGTAAACTAGAGGGCAAACATTGAACTAGTTTACTGTAATAAAAGTGCTTGACAAAAATGCAGTGGGAATAAGAAGAAAGGATTGCATGCATAAGACTAGTACAGGAAAAATAATGCACATGGTAGTGAATTGGGATAGGAAATTTTGAAGGATAGATACATGTTTTGTTTTGCATGTATAAATGGTAGTTAAGGCAATAAGTTGGGTTTATTCATTTGTCCAATCAATATTTATTGAATGCCTACAAAACAAAAACTTGATTTGTAAACTAGCTACAGATTGAGGAAAGAGTTGATTGGCTTACGTATTCCTCCATGCTAAGTGTGGAAGATTAAAGGAAGAATAAGGTAGACACAGGCCCTGCCCTTACGAATGTATAGTGTAATGAACCATTGATATTATCTAGGATCCTACTATGTAATAGAAAGAATAAGGGACCAGAGATAAGGATGACCCTTACTGAGTCAGGTGGTTTGTCTAGGAGCTGTAGGAAGGTCCAGAGAAGTGTCAGAATCTTTGCAGGTAGCTAAAGTTAAGTTAGAAAGTTTCGCTTGAGATATAGTCATGGTCTAGGGTAGGGTTTGAAAGGCTCTCAAGGAATTCTGTTTAAAATCAGTTAAGAATCTGCTTTTTTTCTTGTAGAGATTTTTTTTTGGTAATTGACATTTCAGCTTTAATTTTTTTATTTTTTTGAATAGGTAATATATGCACATGGTTCAAAATTCAAAAGGTACAAAAGGGTATACAGTGAACAGTAAGTGTCCTTTTGACCCTTATCACTCACCACCGAGTTCCCCTTCCTGGAGATAACCACTGTTACCTATTCCTTTCGATTTAGAGAATACTGTATACCTGAGGAAGTTTTTTTTAATGTTCTCCATTAGGACATCCTTTTATTAAGATTGCTGGGACCAACACCAACAATTTATTTCTTTGTAGGCTGTCAGTCCAATGTTTCACCTTGCCACAGAAACTTAGTTTCTGTTGTTTTGTGTATTTCCTTTATTCATCTTTGCATTGTTCTGCATTTTCCCCATATTTGTATTGATACAGTTTATAGCTTACATTGCCTTTATGAATCATAGAATATTCTCTTGTAACCTTGATATAAATATTTTATTGCTTAAGAATGTGTATTTTAAATTATAAACTTCATAAGGGCAGGGACTGTGTCTGTCTTATTGATGAGAATGTCCCAGTATCTGGCACTGGATTAATCAGTGAGTAATATGTTTTAATTGAATTAAAAGAAGAGAAAGTTATTTTACTTTTATCAGTTATATTATTAGGTTTCAGCTTAAATACTTTCTAAACCATATTTTTGTGGAAGTTCCATTATTTTAAATTACCTTAGTGCCAAATCAAGAAATAAATCACATCAGGGGCATTTATTGAGTATCTGCTATGTGCCAGGCATTGTATAAAGTGATTTGAAGAAGCGAAAATGTAATCTTTGCCTTCAAGGAATTTACAGTATAGTGGAAAAGATTATTTATGCGGGCATAATGCCAGTATAAGGCAGAATGTGAAGGGGAGGTGCAGGGAATAAATATTACAGGAGTCCAGAGGTGGTAAAGATCTCTGTGGCCTTCAGGACACAGAAGGATTTTTTGATATAATAGGACTCTGAAAGGTAGGTGGGATTAAAATAGCCAGAAGGGAGACTGAAGGGAGTTCTAAGCAGAGGGAACATGAAAGATTGTGTAGAATGGAGAATGTTTAGAACAGTTTCAGAGAACAGTGACTCACCGCCCTCATTGGACGATTTGTAGTGGGAGCAGTGGAAAGGCCATATTGTGGAGGTCCTCTCATAGCAGTCAAATGAGTTTGGACTTCATACTGTATAAATACAGAGGTATGGAATAGTTTTGGGCAGGGTAAAGATAAGATGAGAACGACCTTAGTCAACTATGTAGTGAATAGGAAGAATTATATAAAATGAAGTTCAAGGGATAGAACCATCAAAAGAAGATAGAAGTATTTTCCTTGTTTTTCCCACTAAGTACACAAGACTCTGAAAGGTGGATGAAGAAGGTAGACTAGTTAGGAACCTTGTCTTGTAAGGAACGACCTTGGCATGCAAGGAATGACAGCAAGGTGAGTACCCTGGGTTTTCTTTTTGCCTCATATACCCCAGTCTGGGTACTGGAGAGCCAGCAGTCTGGAAATGCCAACAGGCACAGATAAAAATGCACCAAAAAAAGTCTGCTCTCCAGTCAAAGGGCTAAGAAGAGAAGGGCAGACTAGCAAGACAGAAAACTTTTAGACAGTAGCCCCTCTATGGCAATCAAGCACCACACAGGAAAAGCTATGGACCACCCACAGCAGCAAAGACTGAGTAGAGAGTTAAGGTTTCCACCCTCACCAGATATAATGAGGTGCCCCAACTCTCCTATGGGGCTGGTGGTGGAGAAGCCCAAGAGGGGAGCTGCAGTTTCATCTCTGCCAGGTTTTAAGGGGGTCCCTTCTGTTAGTGGAATTGTGGGAAGGCTGGATTTCGCATTATCCAGGAGTAGGGGATAATGAGGTACCCCTCCCATCTTTACTGAGGTGGTGTTAGAAGCAGCTTATTAAAAGAGTCAAGGCTTTTACCACTGGTCACACATATTGGGGGCAACCCCATTAATCTCAGTAGAGACCACATAGGGAGCAGTAATGGGGTGTGAGATACTCCCATCCCCCACCCAGAAGGAACCAGGATTCCCTCCCTCTCTAAGGAGGCAGCGTGGAGAATCTGGACTACTACCCTCACTGGGCGGTACCCCCATCTCCTTGCCAGAGTGCTAACAGTAGATAACTCATTTAAAACTGAAGTCTGGTCTGAAGGATAAGGTGTCAGTAGAAGTTCTTCAAATTTTGTGCATAATCCAACCCCAGATATCTATGATAAAGTCACAGTGTCACAAATGTTAGGACATTACTAATTTTTAATTTGGTAATTTTTACTTGATGGTGTTTTTGTTAGGACTTGGGTTGCTCCGGAGGAGTAAACAAAGCTCCCTGTTGCATTTTTTCATTTAGAAATCCTTAGAGGTGCTTTTCTTTTAACCACTGCAGTGAAAAGACAGCAGAGTGACTGCTTTTTCATTTATGGACTTATACTCAAGATTTTTGCAGAGATGGAGAATAAAGGGACTTGGCCTCTAAATTATTTAAAAGTAATAAAAACCTATTAAGTTCATTTTCAGCTTATTTATGCCTGTTGACTAATAAATGCATTTTTTGAATATTAAACTAGCTTTTCAGAAATCTTATTAGCATCTAAATATAAAAGTTTAAATTTTAGGTGGATAATGAGAAGCTTTTGTTAGTAAAACATTTTGATAGCAGGAGAGCTCTGAATAGCAGAAATCCATAAAGGAAAAATATGTCAGTTATGATAGAAAATGAAGCATCATCATTTTTAAATCTTCTTAGGACTTTCACATAGCTTCAAGGTTTGGCATACTTTTTCTGAAAAGGGGACCAGATAGTAAATATTTTAGGCTTTGTGTAGGTCATATAGGTTTCTGTCATACAGTGCCTTTTTTTTAAAAACAACTTTAAAAATGTAATTATACACCTAAAGCTAATAACGTTATATACCACTTACATCTCAAAAAATGTAAAATCATTCTTAGTTCACAGAAGTAGGCTCAGGGCTGGGTTTATTGGTAGTTTTTCTGCTCCTGGCTGAGTTGATTAGTCAGTTGCCTAAAGGCTCTCTTTATTTAGTTCATTAAGTCGTTAAGTCAGCTTTTTCATAGCACAGAGTAAAGACATTTTACAGCATAACATCTGAATATATAAAGTATCTTTTTAGGTTCATTTGACTTACTATGTAGATTTTCCTTTAATCAAAGTCAGTTCCCTTTTTAAAGAGAGGTTTATTTCTTTAAAATGTTTATTTCTGATTTTTTTCCTCTCCTTTAGGAGGTGTTTATTTTTGTAAAGTTTTTGACACAAAACTTATGTGTGTATCAATTGATAGGCACCTTAGCAGTGTAAAATCATAGCTAGTTGAATATTCAGGATCTATCTTATATCTTGTGTAGGAAGAAAATGTTTTAAGCTTTTAGAAACGGAGCAGGAGTGATTCTATCAAAGATATGATATGCTTCAACTTGTAGTAGAACTGTTTTTAAGTCTGCTGATTCTGTCTCACTTCTCATACTGTGATTCCACAGGGCATGAAGGTGCCTCAGTGATTGTTCTTTACGATGGCAAAGCTCCAGCTCTTTGACTCATGCTCTTTAAGAGAGTTTAAAATTTTTTTTGTGTCTACTTTGATCCTCTATTATAGTTATCAGATCTTTGACAATATTAGAAAATCAAATTTGAACACTATCAGGATGTTCAGTAGATCTTCTGTATCCTTGAAGGTTAATTTTTAAAAAGTGACCTATTTCAGTAGTGACTCTATTTTGAAATAAATGCTAGAGCACACTAAAATGATTATACTAAAATAAACCACTTTGAAATAAATTCCATGTACGGTTTCTGTGTATAAGTGGTAAAACTGCCTGGAAATAAATCATTTTGAAGAATTCAAGGAGTATTGGAAATATCTATTTACATAGGAACAATGAATACATTACTTTGTGTCCATTAGAATGTGAGTTCCTTGAGGGCAGAGGTTTTTGTCACTGCTGTATCCATACTAGTAGAACAATGTCTGGTTCATAGGAGGGTTCAGAAAATACTTGTTGCATGAATGAATATGTCATTCTTATCCTTTAATATATATATAACTCTTTTTAAGTTGTACTGGGGTGATGTAATCCTAATAACTGTGTAAGCCTGAAAATAGTAAATTTTATGTCTTTGAAAAATTTCCGTAAATAAGATTTTTGACTAAAACTGACCTTTTGATTAGTTTGTTTTGTTATGAGTTCTATACAAATATGTTCTTTTATTATGCCTTAATAAGATCCCTGATATTTTTATATTTTATTTCTCTAGCTATTCTTTTTGAATGTGTGCATACAGTTTATTCTATTTATCCTAAATCAGAATTACTTGAGAAGGCTGCCAAGTGCATTGGAAAATTTGTTTTGTCACCTAAAATAAATCTCAAATATTTAGGTAAGATGATTGGTCCTTTTGATGGAAATTATAAAGAGAGCTTTTTGAAATTTGCTAGCTATTTTTTTAAGTCACTTTCCATAATGTAATCTTTGTTTCTAGGACTGAAGGCTCTTACCTATGTTATCCAACAGGATCCCACTCTGGCTCTTCAACACCAGATGACAATAATTGAATGCTTAGACCATCCTGATCCCATTATTAAAAGAGAGGTAAACTGGCATCATCAGTAGTGTACATCAAGTGTTATAGTTTTTAAACTTTTTGTTGGTATTACGGAGAGAGAGTAAAGTAGGCAGTGTGTATGTGTGTGTATGTGTATATGTCATGTATTTTAACTTTCGAGTGCATTTTGTTCTTTCTACTAAAGTTTATGGAACTTCTCTAAAAAGTATTTGTGTCAGTATCCACAAGAATGGTTTTAAGTTACGAGATGGAGGAGTTAGGTCCAGTTACCTGTATAGGATTCATTAATATTTCTTTGGTCCAAGAACTGTATCAGTAGAAGCTCTGAATTCCATTCCCAGGTCTTCATATTAGTACAATTTTAAGATGTAATTTGTGATGATTAAAAATTTTTTGTTATTTTCTTTGACATCTATAAAATGGGCTAATACATCTCCTATTAAATATGTAGGAATGTTGAAAGAATTAATAAAGATATCCCTAAAATTATTTGAACTTATTGGAAAGAAAGGTGTATAATTTACTTTTTTTTCCCCAACTTTTTCCGTAGATAAAATTGCTTCAGTATCTGCTTGAGTGTCTATGTAGATATATCTATTAATTCTCATGTAGAGAAATCGCTTCATTTAAAATGGTATATGGAATCTAGTTAAAAAGAGTGGATACTTTTATTTTTGATTTTAAAAATAATAAAAAGAATCTACTAAACATCTAAATTACTCAAAGCAATGAATTAAAAGTTGAGAGAACACTGTATTGCATTAAACAGTTGTAATTTTTAAAAGATAAGATGAGTTTTGAATTTTAAAAGGTACTAGTTTTAAAACAAAGTAC